AAGATGGCTCATAATGTTTCATAAGTGTACGCCTGCAACAGGGTCTTAGCTAGACACGATATTATACATGAGTATATTCATATTATACATGATAGACACGATATTATACATGATATATACATGAGTATATTCATATACTCATGTTCATGTACAGGGTGTATAAAAAAAAACGCAACCTCGGAATTTCCTAAGAAATCACTTTGCAATTCTTAAGCATAAAAGATTTTAGGCCCCTGGGAATTGGAATCGGATTGTTAATCTGATTATATTACTGTTGTTGTGCATTAGTTGTGCATTAAATAAATGCATAAATTTTGCTTTATGCACTCGAGTGTGCAGTAATTTTGACAGTTGTGCAATTTTAAATTCCCAGGCGCCTAAAATCTTTTGTCTTTAAAACAATGTGGATTTCTTGGGAAATTCCGAGGTTGCGCTTTTTTTTATACACCCTGTAGTGTAAAAACAATCGCTTTTCAAAAGAAATCTGTCCGGCAGAACACGAATAAATGAATATAGACCCCCAATGATCAGTCTAGTTACGGGCCTGGCCTGCAAATACAAGTTAACTTGTATGAATGTGGTCATTGTGGTGTTTCATAAATATAGTGTTAGTACACAAAGTTACCTTTCATCAAATATATGCTAGATTACTCTCATAAGCATTCAATGCTTTCAGTTTACGACGAACATAATTCTATAAAAAATGAGATATATATATATATGTTAAACCATTAAGGCACAATCCCTCTTGGTGCACTTACTATGCTATTTTACACTGTACACAGCTTTAATAGTGCCTCAAGAATTAACACAAAAAGTAAATTCACACTTCGCAAGCAAGAAAGAGAAGCCAGGGTACCCGAGCTCGTCTGGTTTTGGAGAGACACCACCTTTGGTATTATTTCTTTTCAATTGTCAAATGTCATCTTGTGATAACATGAGACCTGAACTGACCTGCCCAAGCGTATAATGGCCTATACCTTAACTGTATAGTAGGCTGTGGCCAGTCTGGGTGCTTTGTTACTTGCTTGGATACCCAGGCTGGTCTGCCTCCATATATTAAATACAGCACTAGGTATACTATAATGCAACAGACACTTAATCCTTGCCTTGTTAACCTACAGTAGGCTGTGAAGAGTTTTGTGATTGTGATATGTACTTTGAAATATTGCACGAAGCAATGTTTTGTCCGCCAGGGAAGGATGGCATACACAGGAATTGACTTGAGTTCTCGCAACTTGAAATTTCTTAATATTAGGGGGAAATTTGACAAAGATTGACTAGAAAGTGGTGCTCTGCAGTGGAGCTTATTGATATACATACAGCAGCAAAATTGAAGCTGTCAAATTCCCCTAGATATGCCTGTCCTCCCTGAGTCGCGCATAACATAACAGTGCAGATTATAAATATATTGCGGAAACGTATTTAATTAACTTGCACGTTTTGCCTGCCAAGGGCAAAGACAAGGGTTCTATAATATTTATACAGTAAATGCCTGGGGTATATACTGTAGTATTTTTAGTAGTGATTTGCATGTAATCAATTATTAAACAGAATCTGACTGAGTTCAGCAATCTTGAATTAGCCTTTGAATATTTAGCGCAATTATTTTAGGAGCCTAAACTTTCATTAAATCAGAGCGTTCTATACCAATTGACATGTATACACAATTTATCAGATATAAGTACAAATGCTTACCCTGTATAGCCTTGGCACTCGAATTTCTCTGGCTGGATCTGTTTGGCGAACGCGTCTCGCGGTTCTGTTTGACAAACTGTCCATTTTATCAAGCTTATTCTTCATATCTTCGATGGACAACTTCGTCTCGTTTATAGTCGTCTTTAATATTAACTGTTCTCGTAAGAGCCTGTTCTCCTGCATGGCCGACGTTTTGTAGTAACAGAACATATTGGTCAGATATTAACGACACAGCCATGAGCCATATTTATATTACAATATACTAGACTTGCTGAAGTTTAGCTTAGCAACTCAAATATACTTTGGATGGACGAAAACCCTGTTTGTGAACCTTGAACGACAGTGACGGTTAAACCTCATCATAAAAATACAAAATTGAGTGGGAATTAACGAAATATTTTCCGATTGGACGAGTACAAATACGCACAACGGGAATGCCATCCTGTTTGTCAAATAACTCAACTTATTATATACACAATGTCTGGATATGAGGTATTCTGCAATGTGATTGGTTTTCTACTAGCAGGATATTAGCTCACTAGCAGGATATTAGCTAGTAGAGAAAAACAAAATGGCGGCCAAACTGAATTTACGATGTTTTGCAAACGAGAAAACGGCAAGTTGTCGTTTTTGTAGCCTTCACAGGATTAAAAACACAAATTGTTTTCAGGTTAGCAAATAAATTTTTAAATTTTAAAATGGTTAGAAATATATATTTTTGAAAAAATAATCGGCCGAAAGAGCGAAGATAAAAACATAAACAAAATAGAAAAATATTGAAAATATTCGAAAAGCAAAGTCAGTGAATTCAGACCTTAATTGTGTGTATAATAAAACAGTCATTCCACTCACTCTCGTAGAATATGCAGAGCGATAGCCGATTCGGCGCAACGCGCGTCATCGGCTATCAGCTCATTTTTGACTCGAGTTCGTAGAATAACTGTTAATTAACTTGTTTCGACGAGCAACATCTAGCCAAAAATTCGCTCAGTAGAACACCAATATACCATCATCCATAAAAGTGATGTTACTTGCACAACTGCAGACAGAAATAACAGTTATATTTGGTCAAAATTTTCCATTCCAGTACTGTAAAATATACAGCAAGCGAACAGACAATTGCTTGACCTGCACGAGGGAGGGAGGGAAGGTAATATATATTTGTGCAGTAATTTGTAAAGAAAGCGCGCGCGCGGGAATTTGCACTTGATCACCAGCAAGCAAGAACGGCAAATCTCAAGAAATAATATGCTTTTTCTCTGTTTCGTCTGGTCGTATGAGCTTACGTAAAGTCGGTTGATATGGCGCATTTTAACACGACATTCCACACAGCGAGTGGCGCACTTGCTAATGGTGGGACTCGCGTCACGATCTGGGAGAAATCTCAGTGCAACCAGCGAGACAATGCGAGCATATACTTTCGAAGCTAGGTTCTCGGCTTTCCAGGCCGAACACGATCGAGGAATTTGTCGTAAAAGACGAAAAATAATTAAACAAGAAAGAGCGAGAGAGATATACAGGGATGTCTAAAGGAGAAAAAAAAATTGAGAGGGAAAGAAAAATGCAAGAGAGATTTATTATCGAGCACGAAAATAGGACGAAAATCTAGTCGTTCGTGTACACAAAGAAGGGAAACGTGATGTTGGCTTCTGGCGACTGTGGGACAAAGAGAAAATGTTACGCAGTACGAGCAACATGTGAGTAAAATAGCATAAATTTATAGGTAGGTAGGTAGGTAAAACTTTATTTTATTACGCTAACTCCTACATCAAAAGCTGATTTCCAAGGGGGGCGTAGCATTAAATTCATTTTACATTAAAAATTTAGAAAAGTTAGACATAAAAGCACAGTTACTTACATGCAGTTATTACAATTACATACATAATCAAATAGATAATAGTACATACTGTGCATACATACATACATAATAGTAAATATTAATAGATTAAATAGTCAAGGTAAATATGGGTTTGAAAACTCTAATTAGTAGCCACGTGTCATACGTTTTTATTGAATATAGCTAGTGATTCTTTCCTCTTAATTCATTTGGGAGACTATTCCACAGTTTAGCCCCTCTATAACTAAGACTTTTTTTAAGATATTCAGTCCTAGGCTTGGGCAAATGGAGTTTAGTGGAAGAGCCCCGCAAATTATAATGCTGGGAGGAAGACGTCTTTTGAAAAATATCAGTAAGTCGTAAGCTAGGGCGCTAGATCATGAGTAATTTTATACATCAGACTTGCCACAAACTGGGTTCTGCGTTCGCTCAGAGGCTTCCAGTTTAATTCATTTAGAGCAAGTTCAGATTGACCATGTTCATTTTTACGACCCACGATAGCTCTAGCAGCCCTATTTTGTAATATCTGGAGACGATAGGACGTAATTTCTGGAGACATTTAAAACTAGTCAAAACTGTACTTCTCGTTTACCATGCGCATATTTTAAAGACAGTGTCCAATAAATACGTGCAGTGTCGTATAAGTTTCTGAAACCCAAAGCTATTATATATTATATATTTCGAATTTCCCAATTTAATACCCACACTGAAACAATTATAAACTGTAATACTACAGATATACTCGATACATGTATAGTGTTTTATACTGAATTCTACAGATCAGCAGACGTAAACAATAATTGTATATGTCTAGTGACTAGTGTTTCTATTAAGAGATATATATATAAATGCACCAGTCAATTTTGATAAGTTATTTCTTGGCCGTACTGTAACTCGCTGGGTCTATACAAATATGCATATTACTGTATACTATGGTACAACAATCAAATGGCCGATTCAAGAGTTGTCACTGAGTTGAGCTAACTCTTTGTTTCCAAATCTTTATGTGCCTGTTCTCATAAAAGCATATGTACATAGCAGTTACAGTTAGCATACTGTCACAGAATAAGGTACACAGAAGGCATATGATTTTGGCGTAACCCGTAATTCGTCATCAAATGCTGACACCAGGGTCCTAGCCAGTGCGCGTTTGAAAGGCATTCACCCCCTTGATATTATTCAACGTGGCGGATGTCCAGGGGAGGAATACCTCTCAAACGCGCACTGGCTAGGACCATGGCGTCAGCATTTTGATGATGAATCATGGTGTGGCAGCGATTACTCGAGTCGACCTTCTGTGTGCCTTATTCATTAATTTGAGCCTGCTACTGTTGGTCAGAGGTGGTATAATACTTAGGGTGGGTGACTACCCTGTGTAATACGAGGTTTTCCTCCAGATTTTGTTGCATTGTCACTCAATTCAATGCATGCCTCCTGCTATTTAAGCTGTAGTTCTTGAAATTCAGCACACAGCAGTGAGAATTTTTAATGCTATACTATTAAGACCAGAATTCGTCGCGGGCATTAAGCCTTGTGACATCATTATGCATAAGGTCTATTATGACCAACTTTTATGCCACCACTTAAGTGAGATGTAAACGTGAAAAGGTTAATGACTGTGCTAATTGATTTTGGAAATTTTTGAGGACATATATGCCTTGGCAAAACTTTGGCCACCTTACATTCCTGACAGTCCTGCCTTAGCTTTGTGCCTTATTATGCAAAAATACAATTAATAAAAATTAATACTAAGTTAATGTATTTTTCCCCTATTTTTTCTGGTTTAAATTAATGGTAGAAATAAATAAAATAATATCCAATATTTAGGATATCTTCAGGTAAGTCACTCATCATTCATGACATCATAATGTTGAGAACAAAAGACTGCAGTCTACAGGAAGGTAAATTTTATGCTGCATGTAAGAATAAGCCAGTCTTACACACAGGACATGCAGTGGAATATTATTTCAAATTAACATGATGAATTAGCAGTATATTGCTTTGGTTTCATTCAATTAATATATTGTACATAAAATCTCACTGTCTTAAAGCTTTTGAATGAACCATACAAACAAGATCTTTATGCTCGCTAGGTCAATTTTGAGTGACCATTTTATAAGATCTTTAAAGAAACCCTGTCAGTGAGTGACTGTTATTGTATAGTTGAATTCAATTTAGCTGCATGGAGAGTTTTTCCAAATTTATGTTGAAACTGAGAATTTTTTTAATGATGAGAATAAATGGACTGCAGCCAACAGGAATATAAATTTTTGTAAAGGTCTTCTTGCTTTCTGATACTTCGTGATAAAACAATGAAGAGTTTATATTGCTATGGTTTGAACAAATTTTCTAAGCATGATGAGAACAACCTGCAACTTACATGTACAGGATGCAAATTTTATGCACATGCATGTTTCTGATACAGTCTTCCTAGTTCCTAAGCCAATTTAATTGAGATGACGAGTTTATATATTGCTTTGGTATGAGTGTGTTGTATTAAATGTTAGGTTTTTTATATTAGGTCTAGTATGCATGACCGTCAATCATACACCTATATATCTTCAAATTTTATGATTGTGATCCTGGCTGCATTATATATTTGCTATATGTTTGCATTTTTGCAATGTTTCGTCTAGAGTTTGGTAACCTAAAGTTATAAAATTTGCAACTGACCGATTACAATAATTAATTAATGCATGCTATCGCCTGTTATTTTCTGGCAATGTGCATTACATATCAAATGTTTTCATAAGTAATACGTATATTCATAACCTCCTTTTTTAATAAAATTGTACAAAATGTCCTTGCAAGCATAGTTAATAGAGGAGATGGTTCGGAAACTCGTTAGCATTACAATAAAATCACAATATACCTCATTAGTATAAATTTTGCATATCAAATGAGCTTTCGCGCGTTCTGATTGGCTAGTTGACTAGTAAATCTGAGGCATTATTTACCACCTGGGTAGTAAATAATGCTTTTCAAAAAGAATGATTCGGCAAATTTGGTTTCAAAATCGACAAAATATTGAAAAAATCGTCCCAGAAAAAGAAAAAAAGCACAAAATGTTGTATTTAACTTGAAAGGTAGGATTTAGTATTATATTACTGTGTCAAACATATTCACGGACAATTTAAAACTTATTTAAAACTCCGAAACATTCGCTTCAAACGTAAATCTGAAATAGCAAAAAATATCCCGACTTTTGGGAAAAGCCGTGATATTCTTTTTAAAACAATTTTGTTTTGTATCCTATAAATATCTCAATTTGTACGATACTATTTCTTTTGACTATGTCGTGTTTTCATTGTGCTGTATGGTGTCCTTTCGCTGTATTGTACTATTTGTGTTTTAAAACTTGTAAAGTGAAAAGTGTATTAAAACTTTTATATTAATTCGAACGATATAGTTTTACATTTCATTTTACCAAATTTCTCAGCCATTTCCTGAACAAATTAATGCTAAACAGAAACTATTTTTTAATTCTAAGTCTGGTAAAAAAGTCATTCCATCATTGTGTTTATATTCTAAGCAGAAATCGAGAAAAATAACTTTGTAATAAAGCAATAAAGTCGCACAGGAAGCCATTTTGAAAGCGTGCGTGTACAAGAAACACTGCAACACTAAACCGTAAACCGGTCGAAAACAGTTTTATTTCTGAATTTTAATTAAACTTATAGTTGGATAACTTGGATATTTTGTTTTATTCATTAAAAATTTATACTAAAACAATTATTCGCCTCAGGCTCAGTGATTACGGTGAATATTCACCTCGACTTCGTCTCGCTGAGTATTCACCGGTAATCACTTCGCCTTCGGCGAATAATTGTTAATTAGGGGCGGACCATTAGAAATCCCGGGAGGGGGGGTGAAAATTCCCAAAAAAAATTCGTGCAAAGAAAAATGCCTGGAAAAAAAATTCGTGCAGCCATTACGTAAGGGAAAAAAAATTCGTGCAAGCAAACAGCAAAGTCATGGGAGAGCCCTGAAGGAGTAAAATGGGAACTGGGATTGATCTATTTTTAGACTGGGAAAATGGGAATTGGGTTGCTGGGACTGGAATTTGGCCACTGGGAATGGGAAATGAAGTCCTCAAAAATGGGAATGGGATTGAGGTAATGCGAGTCGATTCCCAATTTTTCTTCGTTTTGAGTATTTCAAAATACAATTTTGATCAGTTTTTGGTGTATTTTGTCATGATTTTTGTTGTTCAGATATTATTCACAGCACTACCTGCGAACAGGCATACTCTGGCGCCCGGAATTCTGAGTTTTCTGATTATGCGTGTCTCAGAATGCTGCAAATGCCATTTCCCGGTTTAAAATTTTAAAATTTTCCGTGCCTTCGGCACGAGCCCCCCCTAATATTTCGTAAAGTGTCCGCCACTTGCTTAAAAGGTCTTAAAACTGTTTATTCTACCGATAAATAAAGGGTTTTTTATTGACTGGGATTTCAATAACTAGGACTGAGATTTCTAATAAAAATCCAACTGGAACTGCAAAAATTTCAGGTGGGAAATGG